ACTTTAAAAAGAAAACAACTATTTTTTTTTCTTATTAAAAGCTAAATAAACCAAAAACATTGATGTTAATTTTTGACTGTGCAACTTTACAAACGGCACCTTTTAAGTTATGACCAGTGGCAGCCATATTGAATGGGGTTAACGCCAAACATTAATCACCTGTATATGTTCATCTAATGATGAAAAATACGTTAATCTGTCAAGTGATTCATGAGATATTTTGCTAACAGATGGACAACCCCCCCCCCCCCCCCACACACACACACACACAAACACAATGAGGGACATGGCGCAGAGCGAAAGGTGGCAGGGGAAGTTCAACAGAGGACGAGGTCAAGAGCGAGAGAAGGAGGTCAGCTCTGTAGAGAGAGAAGAGGAAGGAGGTCTGAACTGATTTAACGAGATAATCGGGACGTGTACAAACTAGATGCTGCGTATCGAAACAGACAAATGTCAGAGTTAGTCTAGACTGCACTTTTACAGCAGATGCAGCTTAAAATTAGATGATCGGACACGTGGGGGGACGGCTGCAACAACTGCTGACATTTCCCGTGTTTTCACTTCACTCAGCCAGAACGCTCTGGGCCGACATCAGACCATCGCTGCTATATTGGTGCTGCAGCTGCTGTCTTCTCTAAATCGCCCCTCGTACTTTACATTCTACCTCCAAGGAGCCAGACCTTCGTCAGATGCTCTAAAGTAGTCTTCATCGGTAATTCTCTGAGGGACTTTTAAAGTGCTCCCCTTTTCTACTCACTTGTTGCTAAAAAGGTGAAGCAATAACGGGTTTGTATGTCATGAACCGCTTCATGTATTTTAATGAAACTAACGGGTAGTAATCATTAGATACAAATCTACAACTAACTGACGTTTAGAGTCGAGCTGATTCAATATGGCCACCACAGCCAAGTGACCTCACAAAATGTAAAAGTGGCTACAAGCAAAATATCTCATGAACCGCTGGACAGATTTTAACAAAACTTTTAGGAAGTAATCATTGGGTCATCAGCTAAAACTGATTCAATTGTAGAATCAGCCCAATTCAATATGGCCCCCACAGCCAACTGACCTTACAAAACATAGAAATGGCTATAACTTAGTCAGTTTGGCAGATATTGAGCTAAAATTTGGAGTGGAAGTAGCTGAAAATGACCCCAACACATAACCTGAGCACTTAGTGATTAAGCAAGATATTTGTTTCAAAATTCCCATAATCTCTTTGGTGTCAACACTGTCCGTCTGTTAGCAAAATATCTCATGAACTGCTGGACAGATTTTAACTAAACTTTCAGAAAGTAGTCATTGGGGCTTTAAATCAAACTGTTTACATTTTAGAGTCAGCCCATTTCAAGATGGCCGCCACAGACAATCAAACTTGGAAAACATGGAAATGGCTGTAACCCAGTCAATTTTAAAGGTACCGAACTCAAATTTGGTGTGGTAGTAGCTGAGTGTTATCCTAAACACATACTCTGAGCACTGACCTATCAAGCAAGTTGTCACAATTTAAACAAGATTGAGAAGTACATGTGTGGGTGATGAGCATTCCTTTAAAGCAGGAGTGGGCAACCATATAAATTCAGAGGGATAAACTGAGATATTTAAAGCAGTCAAAGGGCCACATAAAGAATTAGAAAATAAAGTTTCTTTAAAGGAATACTTTTTTCAGGCTTTTTCTTTTTTCAGCACAATTTACTCTGTAGTAACATAAGACATGTTTTTTTTCTGTAAAATGGCTCTCGTGACATTTTTATTTGCTGAAATATGCAAAAAATATATACATTTGTGCTTTTTGGAGTGAACTTTTCAGTCTAATTCTAGAAACATGACCTAAAACAAAGTTTTAGCCAATCTTAATCCAAATATTTTCTGTGTATTTTTCCAAAATGTTTAATTTAGACTTAAGTTTCATTCATAAAAATGCAGGATTTTCTGTTGGAGGGTCGGGTGGAGATTGTCCAAGGGCCACTTTTGGCCCTCCGGCCGTACGTTGGCCTTGAGTTAAAAAAGTAAAAACATCACCTTGCTTGTAAAATACTTCATAGTTAGTAGTATTTTCAGCGGAGAAGTGTTTGTTTACTCAGCTCTGACTAAACTGAACTGTGTGGAGGTGTGAAACAGGCGGACGTGAGGTGTGTGTGTGTTTGTCACCACCTCCAAGAATACTTTTTGAACAACTGTTCAAAGTGACACAGCAGTGGGTGTGTGTTTCCACAGATGAACACTTTCTCGTCGTCAAGCCTCACGGCGGCGGCGGCGGCGGCGGCGTATTCTTCTGCCTCGTCGTGTTTAACGTGGACGTGGAGGAGAGGCGGCTGAATCCAGGAGTGCGGTCAAGAGCGTGCACAACAGTGAGGAGGGAGGAGAGAGAGAGAGAGAGGAGCAGAGGGAGGTTATTAATCCTGAGAGTTTCTCAGAGTCTGGTGGCGCTCGGGAGGAAACGCATGAGCTTCTCTGGAAAAGATGAGAAGGATGCTGGGAGGATGTTAATCTGAAGTGGGGTTTTGGATGAAGCTGGTGATGGGCACGGTGAGCGAGCTGTGTGCGTCCAGCTTCCAAGCTTTTCTCTGCCCTGCGGTGCGAGCGGGGACACCTGCGGCCTCAGGTGAGGGGGGGGGGGGGGGGGGTCCGTGAGCAAACTCATCTGTTCTTGTTCCATCAGAAACTAACGGTTCTAATCTCGTGCTATTAATCCCGTTGATCTTTAAGACGAAGATTATTGGGGCTGCTTTTGGACAATTCGGTGTTTAGTTGCCGTGGTGATGTGGAGTTGTGCAGCTTTCTGTATATATGTGTGGCGTTTACGCTCGTGCACATGAGTCAGTGTGTGCGCGTGATGGTGGTGGGCTTGATTTGAGAACATGACGCACACCCTTCACCCTCGTCTTGGTCCAGGATCCTCCTCTCCAGTGGGTGCTGGGGTGACATAATCTCCATCACTGCCCACTGGTTTCTGCCTCGCTGAAAAGCTGTTTCTGCTCAGAGCTCACTCAGTTTAACTTTATCTGAGAGCAGCCATGTCTTCTTTTCTTCTTCTTCATGTTCATATGATCCGGCCCGAGTCGCTTTTATTAGATTAACTTTATTAACTGTGCAGAAACGGACCTGCAGCTTTTTACTCGTCTGTGCAAAGCATCTACCCCATCGGGAGTTTTTTTTGTTTTCTTGCTCTTCAACCTGGAATTTAGATCAACTTGTATCTGATTATAAGTAATAATACATCAATATTTTAGTTAAATAAATAAAAAATATTTGAAGTTCCAACCATTACCCTCAAACGCCACAAAATTTCATCTAAACCTGTCCAGTGACGTAACAGTCCTCAGAACCTACACCAGCTCAACACCTCTACCACAGAGGAAGTTGCATCATGAAGACCAAGGAACGCCCAAGATAGGTCAGCGCTAAAGTTGCTTATTTAACAAAAGCTGGGCTTCGTGGACGTTTCTTCTTCCCCAAATATTTTCTATCCGATGAGACCAGATGATGAACTTTTATTCTTCCATCATGCCACCATCCCCACAGTGAAGCATGGTGGTGGCAGCATTATGCTGAGGGAATGTTTTTAAACGGCAGGGACTGGGAAACGGGTCAGAGTCGAAGGAAAGACTGCTGTTTTAAACAAAAAGACAAATTCTCGAGAGGAACTCCAGAGATCTGAGTCAAATTAAAGGACGGAATTAAGTCATAAAGGGAATTTGTCTCCTTTCGCTCGATGCGTCTCTCACTGCTGCAGGACTTAGAGTTTCCACTCAGATCCCAACGTGCACGCAAGCTTCCATAGATTATACTCTAGCTCTAGAATTATGACAATCTGACTTGCAGTTTTCAGCGACTGCTTGTTTGAGGCTTAGCTTGTCTCTTCAGTTTGTCGTCGGGGAGGGATAAACGCAAGCGGTTACCATGGTGACCATAATGAGCCACGGACACCTGTAACAAAAAAGCAATCAAGACGTGAAATCACATCAAATCATTATTTTAAGCGACAAATAGGAAAAAAAAAAATGTAAAAGAATAAAATTACCAATACTCTAAATGATGTTCGTTGTGCAGGACGAGTTTGATGCAACAAATAACACCTTTTATTTTAGATTTATTTAAAAAAAACACATCTCAGATGTTTCTCGTGGCAGCTCCTGTTTTGGATGCTCTTATTTAAATGATGATAAATGGAGCTAAAAGCAAAGTGAATGTTTTATATTTCCTCCTCACCCCGCCTCAGTCTATCCTGTTTTTGGCGAGCCCAAACGCCGAATAAAGCGGTGATTCAACAGCACAGCTGCGATCCTTTGCCCTCTTTTTCCTCTGTCCTTCAACACACCCTCTCCTCTCCCTTCCTTTTCTTTTTTTTTTGCAGACCTGCTTCCCTGCGGCCTCCACACTAATGGGTTTGATTCCTTCTCCTCAGCAGGTGGAGACTGTTATTTTAATTTCCTTTTTTTCGTACATCTGGTCGAGCCCTGTTTCCTCTTTCTGTCTGAATGTGGAAAAAGTTATTTCTCTTTGCCAAGCTTTCAGTCAAACGTAATTACACAAATTTACATTTCGATTTATGGTGTAAGCGTTGTGTCACGCGTCAAGGATGACTTTCAGCTACTACCACACCAAAATGTAGCTCAATATCTGTAAAATTGACTGATTCATAGCGATTTTTGTGTTGGCTGAGTTTGATTGGCTGTGGTGGCCATCTTTCATTGAGTTGGCTCCAAAAGTAAATCAGCTGTGGCTGTACATTCAGTGATTGCTTTCTGAGAGTTTCACTAAAATCTGTCCACGGGTTTGTGAGATATTTTGCTAACATATAAATGGAGTTGACAACAATTGTTGTTGTTCATGTTTTAAGCAAAGATATAGCCAAAAAGTGTAGTGCTTGGAGCACTTGTTTTGGATGATGCACAGCTACTTCCAAAGCAATTTTTAGCCAAAGACTTGTAAAATTGACAGAGTTCAAGGCATTTTTGTGTTTCCCAAGTTCCAGAGGCTGTGGTGGCCATGTCAAACTTTATGAACCCGAAAATGTAAAGTGTTCTAGAGGTACATCCACTGATTGTTTTCTGAAGGTTTCATTAAAATCTGTCCATTGGTTCATGAGATATTTTACTAACAGACAGACGCACACACAGACATTGACAAAAAGTGCAGAATACGTGATCTGCCAGCCGCTCTCTGATTGGCTGTAGATGTTTAGGCCACGCCTCCGTAATCCAGAGGTTTGACAGCCACCCTGATTGGCTGTTGCGGTCTAGGCCACGCCCTCTCCATCCTGCCCGCACCGGCTGTCCTCTCCACACAGTCCTCAATAACTCGCAGTTTAACGGTTACCCGGTGAACGAAGTTCACTTTTTTTGACCCGCAAACTTTCCTAAAACTGTCAAGTTCAACTTTCACTTCCTGAGGCAACGCTGGCCGAACTTCACCAACATGGTGCTGAAGTCGGAAGAAGGAGTTGGTGAGTTTACAGACGCTTAATTTATTTTAACGTAGATGCTAACTCAACCAGGTTAGCTAACATTAAACTATCCTGACGCCGTGTTTGAGCAAAGAGCTTGTTTGTGTGCCTGAATATGATGTAGTTTAGAGTTCCTGCCAACACAACAAGTCCCCATTTGACTGGTGAGGTAATGCTTTTTATAAACTGGCACAAGGGCTCTATTATTATTATTATTATCATCATCTGGGTTGAGGCCAGACCTCATGGGGGTTCTGCTTTTTTTGCAGCATGCAATCAATGCACCCATTTGTTAGTTGGAAATGAACGGGCTGCAATAAAAACACTCAGTTGACTTGACTGCTTGTGCTTTTTTCTTCTAACTTGGAAGCAAAGAGTTGGACCTTGTCAACAGAAGGAAGGCCCAGTTCAGACAAGGAGACCGAACCGTAATAAATCTGGATTAGAAATCAGCCACAGCTGCACTGGTGTTTCCTGCTCTGCTCATACAGGAAGTGTTCTGCTATCAGACTGTTAAAACGGCACCAAATCTGTGTTTAAAAGTAAAAACATAAAGTAGATGAACGAAAACGAGTCTCCAAGTTGCTTCGTACATTTTGTGGCAACTTCGGCTGCTGTTATCCAAAAATGTTTCTTTATAAACTAATGGATCACCACCTGTCATTTTCAAAGATGGCTGCCACAGTAGCCTTACTAAATGCAGAAAGGGGTGCACCTCAACCACTTTTACATATATTGAGCTAAAGTTTGGTGTAGTACCCAACACATACCGAGTGCTACTCTTCATTATTTATCATTATTTTTAGGGATGCATGATATCAGCATGTTTCGGCTGATGTTGGCGATAAAGTTAAGTGGAAGTTTCAGGGAAAAAGAATTGGATGTGCAACTTTATCTAATTAACTGGATTTACCCACTTCAAGATGGCCGTCACACCTAATGGATCCTAGGAGACACAAAAATGGCCGCAACTCAGCCAATTCTGTGTGTGTTGAGCTAGAATTTGATGTGGTAGTAGGTGAGTCATGCTCAACATATAATCTGTGTTTATTAGCTATTGGAATCAATTCTGTTAGCAAAACATCTGAGCCGCTGGATGGATGTCAAATTGTCACTTAAACACTAATTAATCATTAGATGTTCAGCTGCAACTGATTAACTATTTAAATCAGCCTTGATCAAGATGGCAGCAGTAGCGAAGCAACCTTAACACAAAAATAGCTGTAACTCAGTCAGTACTGCGGCTACTGAGCTAAAACTTGGTGGTGTAGTAGCCGAGAGTCAGAGGGGGTGCCTGTCTCAATAAACAATTAATCAATTAATCGCATGATAAATGAAGATTATCGACCTCATTTTAATTCATCAGCTTTTATCGTTTCTTCGTCTCTACTGAAGACACTGGATGACAAGAGGCTCAACTCTGGTGCTCTTCACTGACTCCTTCCTTCTCTTTAAAACCTGTTAACCGTCCAAAATCACGTTTGTTAAAAGCAGCTAAACTGAGAAGCTAAGCTACGAGCTAAGCTAACCGGCCGACTTTGGGGAATAAAAAACCTCCGTCTTGCCGAAGCCCCAGAATTTATGGTTGAAACCTGTGCCTTCGTCTAAAAAGTCGTTTTTCTCTGCAAAAAGAAGCTGAGAACTTGCTTACTGATTTTTTTTTTTTTAATTAAAAGGTTTATGTGAAAAATGCTATGCTAAAGAGCTCAAAACACACAGAGCGTCCGCCATTTTGAGAGCCGAAAAGACGGCCCATGTCGCGTCAAGGGGCCTCCCTCCCATTTTTCTTAGAGACGCGCTGCTTGCTCCCTCACTATCCATCCTTCGGTTCAGTCTTATACTGCCATCCAGTGGTTTAAAGGTACTACACTCAAAACAAATTAACCAACATTTCTTCTTAAATTTGACAATAATTACTAATTATTGTCAAATTTCAAACGATATTATCGTTTATCGCAATAATTTCTGATACAATTAATCGCCCAGTAAAATTTATCTAACAGGCCCAAGTTTGACCTAAACCAACTGGCATTAAAGGTGGTGGGGTAATATGCATTCCTTTAAAGAATAACTTTCATGTTGTAACAACCTGCCGACACGAACTTTGGATTTTGTTATGAAGAAAAGATGCCAAGTTTGGCCCTCTCGTCTCCGTCACAGGATGTTTTCAGTGTTTATTTGTTCTCTTATCTTTGCTTCCTGTTTGTCTTCCTCCAGTCTTTTGAGCTCTAGGCTGCCTGAATGCCGTCGGTAAGAGAGCAGCGTTCAGTCTGTCTTTTTGAGCTCGTTGTCCTCGGGTCAGGGAACTTGGAAATGTCCAACTACTGCCTTGTGAACAGCGTCTGACTCCAGTCTTGAGTCATGCTCTTCTGTGTGTGAACACGTGATGAGCAGGGACAGAACGGCCCTCCTTGTACTCTTCTTGTCTTTACTTTAAGCTGCTTTAGATAAAAACCACAACTCTAAAACCCCAGTTTTCTCTGGGAAACCGGCGTCCAATAGATTGAGCCTCCTGCCCTTGATGGAAGGAGGGAGCAGGGAGGAGTCGGGGGAGACATGAGATGAGAGTTCAAGGGTTTTCCCTCGACACACGCACTTTAAAAAAACAAAACGTTTGTCCTCATTTAGCTGCAGGCGGGCTCCCCTCCTCTTTGATTCACTGGAATTAGAGCCTGAGGATTAGAGACTCGAAGACCACAAGATTGGGACTTGGATTCACGAACCTCGACAGCTGTGGGTGAACTGTCAAATCGTTCTGGAGAAAACGAGCTTCTGGATCACAAAGTTATAAATGTGGAGCTGTAAACCCTGGTAGGAATCAAACGACAACTGGAACCACCGAGACCTGCCGTGGTGAGGAGGAGACGCCTTCTCTGGTATGAACATCAAGAGTATGACACACATGTGTAGGTGTACCGTGCGTCAGAACTTCTGCATCAGAGCTTCGTGCTGTAGCTCCCAGAGCGAGTTCGAAACCTCGGTTCAACGTGCTGCAAGTGTAGATGGATCGTGTGCATCTGCACGAAGACGTGATGCAAACTGTGAGCAGGCATGTGCTGACGATCAGCAGCAACGTCTCCTATTACTTGGTAGACTTGATACTATGTGAAGCAGCTGGCCAAAGACTCCCGGTGGTGTTTATGTAGGATGCGAGTGTGTCGTCTGCAAGAAAAGGTGTTTGAAAAGCTGTCACAAACCGCCCGTCTTATTTCCTCTCTGAATAAAAAGCCAGAGAAAGGAAGTGCCAGTTTCACTACCGCTCGTTTCACGTCTGTGCGTTATTCTTGCCCTCACATTAGGAGCTGCTCCAGAGCTCCTAAAACCTTTTAACTTGTCAAGAGCTGTGTCCTAGATCAGTGGTTTTCAGTTAAAATTCAGCAAAGTCTGCTTCAACAAGATCCAGACTAAATGTTTAAATGTTTTTTTTTTTTTTAGTGACAGCCCTGTCCTCTGAAAGGACGCAGAGCGAAACCGTGAGCCGGACGTGGGAAAAGTTGTGCCAGATAAAATTATTTATCGTAAACGAAGACTTGAAAAGCTGCGCAGTCTAAAATGAATTATCATAAATGTGGGAAAATCTGTGTTGCTTAAATTACTGTAAATTGGATAAAAAAAACAGCCTGCCGTTTCAAATGAAATACCATGAATTGTAGAAAAGCTGTACTACCTTTTATAAATACTGACGATTGTGCAGGTAAAAAATAAATAATATATATTTAAAAAATAATGTTTTAATTATACTGAAATTGAACGATCTGGTTCCAGATGGGGCTTAATTTGTGGCTGGATCTGGATCACAGTTCTCCATTTGACAACCCCTAATCTAGATTATAGGGATGCACAATATTATCGGCATGGTATCGGTATCGGCTGATGTTAACGATTAAGTTAAATATCGGCCATTCCATCAAAATAACTCAGATATAAAAGGCTTTGTTTTAAGTTTTTAATTTAAGAAACTGTCAAGTATATCTATTAACGCACTACTACTTATGCGCTTGTCACTTGTGAACAAGTTGAGTTTAGTTTTGTGGACATTTTCAAATTTGCACTGTTCAAGTGTTGTCATTGTTAGAGAGTAAATGTCAAGAATAAATTTGACATGAAACATAATCCATGTTGAAGTGTTTATTTTTCGACCTCTTTCTGGCATCTGCATTTGGTAGCAGGTCATATTGACAAAGACCTCGCAGAGTAATGTAGTATTTTAATACCACAGCAGAGAAAGCTGTGTAGTCTCTGTAAGTAGGTCTAGGGAAATAAATAAAAAGTTGGTTATCGTCCAAAGAAGTTTTAATGTATCAGCATATCGGATATCAGCCAAAAATCCAATATTGTGCATCCCTAGTGGATTATACTGTGTATGTGAGAGGTGGGACAGGACTGTGTGGTAGATCTGGGGTGTCCCACAAGTTTAACACAAAACAAACTGACTTTTTCTTTTGTTTTGACACTTCCTATTCAAAGAACGTTCTCGGTTCAGTCTGAAAAATGCGAGGTTGCAAGATTTAATCGGGCTTTAACGATAATTACTGTCGGTTTTACGTCATGCAGAGGGATGGGTTTGGGTCTTTAGTGGTTTGAGATATTTAAAAAAACACACCAAACACGATGTAGCACGAACAATAAAACTTAAAATCAAGTTTTAGTGAAAAGCTCAGACAGAACGTCACCACAGGCCTGGTCTGTGCTGAATATGTAAAAACAAATTAAAAGATAAAGCATTAAAGTTGTTTAACGGTTGCTGTCGTGTCGGAGTGAAGCGGAGCCAACACTGAAATGACTCTTGTTGTAAAGTCTTGATGAGACCCGGTCTCCTCCTCGTTTCTGCGGCGCTCTGGGCGACGCGCTCTCGTTGGCAAAGTGAAATGAACATTTCCAACACTTGTTTGAATCCCTCGGCAGGACGCCTCTAACGAGGCTGACTAACAGCCGCAGCACAGCTTGACTTGTCCTTTGTGCCTGCCGGCCACTCGGCATTCATTGAGCTCCTTCTCCCCTGTTTTTGTTTTTGTTGTTGTTTATATATGTATAAAAAAACACAACCTTGATTCAAGAGGCACTCAGAAATAAAAACTATTGGAGCCGAGTGTGATATACGTCTGTTACATTTATGTTGCACATCCTTCTTTAGAACAACCACAACCGTGCGTTAGCCCACTTATCACCCTGGTGCAGATACTGGTGTAACTGGTGCACATGAACTTCTGTTCTATCGGAGTACACACTTGGTTACGGGTGTGTTTCATATTCAGGGCGGAAGCCAGCGAGATACAGTAACTTATCAAGTCTAACAACTTTTACTCATCGGGTGTTCTTGTTCTTCTTGTAAAGCTTTTAATTTTGGACATCTTTGTTCCTTTTAATATAAAACTTTTCGGACGTTCGGTACAACAAGTGAACGTTGGAAACGCAGCCTTCATACAGATGGTTATCAGAGTTTTAAAGATGGAAAATGTACATTTTCTTTCAACGTTGGGAATTTTTTTGCGTATTTGCATAATCCTCAATAAAACGAATACTCATTTATTATCAAATCTAATTTGTAATAAATGAACAAAATCAGCTGATTTATGTTTTGGTGCCAACAATTGCGAGTCATTTGTTTACATACAAACATTGATGAGTACACTTGGACAGTCTCGGCGTGAGATGGATGCTGAGTCTGTAAAATAATCCCTGGATGCAAACGGAGTTAGGCCAGTCACGACAACAAAATTTTGCTGAGCAATTAATTGTCAAGAGATTATTGCGATACATTTTTTTTTTTTATTAGACAATAATTGGTAATTATTGTCTAATTTAAGAACAAATGTTGGTTAATTTGTTTTGAGTGTAGTACCTTTTTACGACCACCAGATGGCAGTATAAGACTGAACCAAAGGATGGATGGTGAGGGAGCGAGCAGCGTAGCTCTTTAAGAAAAATGGGAGGGAGACTCCTTGATGTGACATGGGTTGGCTCTTTCCTTTTTTTGGGTTCTCAAAATGGCGGACACTCGGTTTGGTTTGAGCTCTTAATAAAAAATCAGTAAACAAGTTCTCAGCTTCTTTTTGCAGAGAAAAACAACTGTTTACACGAGGACGAGGTCGGCCTGTTGGTTTAGCTCGTAGCTTAGCTTCTCAGTTTAGGTGCTTTTAACGATCCAAAAACACGATTTTGGACGGTTAAAACTAGATTTTAAAGAGAAGGGGACGGGTCAGTGAAGAGCACCGGAGTTGAGCCTTTTGTCATCCAGTGTCTTCAGTAGAAAGAGACTAGAAGAAACGATAAAGCCGATGAATGAAAAGCAGCTGTTGATGTGCATCCATCTACTACTGTTTGAGAGTTTCATTAAGGATCTGCTTGTTTATGATATTTTTCTAACAAGACAGAAACGAGAACACAGACTCAGGCAAAAACACAGAAGGAATCTAATAACATTTGACTGAATAACCAGCAATTTATTTGTAACCCCTCGTTTGTTCAGTTTATTATGGCCACGGTGCAAACACATCTGTTTTCTTGAATTCTGAGTTTAATCGAATTCTGAGATTAAGTCAGAATTCCAGACAAAAACATAAAATGCTGCGTCGTGGCCCTGATCTCTTCTGTATAAATACAACCTTCCTTATTTTACTGTGCGAATGTTTATGAAGCATTCACACTATTGTGATCCTTTCTTTTTCCCCCGTAAGTTTTTCAGCGTGATTCTCATCCTGCAGTTTTCAAGTGATGTTAACGAATCATAAATCAAAATGTTCAGCTCTTCCAGGACAATCTTTTTGGTATTGGTGCAACTTTAGCTTTTTTGAAATATTTAGACTTTTCTGCCATTTTTTTTTCTCATAGAAAATGAATTGAGCTCATTGTACATCCTTAAAATATTTAGTTTACAACCTTTTACTGCTCCTGTCACGTTTTGTTCTGCTTCAGCTTTTCAGCTTCCTTGTGCAAATGTAAACATTTTTTCAGCTACTTTCAGCTGTTTTGTGCTCCTTTCATATTCTTTCTGATAACTACAACCTTTTTTGTGCTTCTAACTTTTTCCTGCTAATTTCAGCTTATGCTCCTTTCAGCTTATTTCTGCTTTTTCCTACTATTTCAGCTACTACATAGCTGTTTTTACGCTAATTTAAACTTTTTCAGCTAATTCCACGTTTTTTGCACTCATTTAAACGTTTTCAGCCTAATTAAGAAAGAATCTTCTCTCTACTTTCTTCTGGTAATTTAAGCTTCTTTCTGCCTTTTTAGCTACTTTTCAGCTGTTTATTTATTTATTTTTTTGCTAATTTCAGCTTTTTCAGATATGGTTATTTCTGCTTTTGGGCTAATTTCTGCTTCTTTCTGCCTAATTGAGCAAACGTGTTATTTCTGTTCTGCTAATTTCAGCTTGTTCTGCTCCTTTTCAGCTTTTTTTTTTTTTGCTCGTTTTTTGGTTAGTGTCAGCTTTTTCTGCTATTTCAGCTACTTTTTAGCTGTTGCGCTAAATTTAGTTTTTTCAGCCAATTCAGTTTCCCCCCCTCAATGCAGCTCCTTCCACTTCCTTCTGGTAGTTTAAGCTTTTTTTTCTGCCTTTTCAGCTACTTTTCAGCAATGTTTTCCTAATTTCATCTTTTTTTAGCCATTTCCTAATTTTTATGCTCATTTCTGCTTATTTAAACTTAATTAATCAAACATGTGTTCTTTCTGCTTTCTTCTGCTAACCTAGGCTTGTTCTTCTATTTCAGCTGTTTTTCAGCAAGTTCTTCAGCAATAAGCATTCACTGTGCATTTTTGCAGGAATGCATTTTCTCTGGTTGCTTGTCACTCTTGTTACTGACTTGACAGTTGTAGACATTTTTAAATTTTTCTGCTGAATGTCTGAGATTCCATCTTTGCACTGTGGGTCCTGGGATGTCTGTGTTTATGTGGTAAAAGGGTGGCGTAATTTGATGGATCTCAGATTGTGTTGCCATGGTGATCCAGAGCAGCGGGACTCTCGGGTCTCTGTTATTTTTTTTATATTTACATTTGTACGTGTGTGCGCGCATCCGTTCTATGACGGACGAGAGAACATTTGATGGTTTGCGTCTGAGCGCTGCGTGTTTCTGCCCTCAGTACCCGATGACCTGAGTCCAGGGGAGCGTCAGGAGCTGGAGAGCATCCGCCGCAGAAAACAGGAGCTGCTGCAGGACATCCAAGTAAGACGACTCCGTCAAACCGTGTCCGCACCGGCTCGTTACCCTCCCTCCTCCTTTATCCATTTTATCAGTTTCTTTAAGAGCCGGGCGTCTAAAACTCTGCCTGAGTGAGAAGAGACAGCAACTCTTATTTTGGCGTAGGAGCCAGATGCACAAACTGTTAGTCAGGAAAGATTAGTATGAATCACTTGTTGGTGTTGTGCTCCAGATGACGATCATCGTGGAGAGCAGCTGATATGTAAGACTGAGTTATGGCAGGGATTTAGTCACATCTCTTCTCAGTTTATCACCAAAGCACAAATCGTCATGTGGTTTTCACACACTTGCTAATATAATATATAATATAATATAATATAATATAATATAATATAATATAAAGTCTGCCTCAGAAGGATCAGTGTTCACCAGAGAGCGTGTTTATTTTATTGTGACTGTTTATGAAGCATTTGCACTATTTTGATCCACTTTTCTTCCGTACATTTATCTGCGTGATTCTTGTCCCACAGTTTTCAGCTATTTCAGCAAATCCTGAATCAAAACGTTCAGCTCTTTCAGGACAATCCTGCTGTGACTTTTGATATTGGTGCAACTTTAGCTTTGAAATATTTAGACTTTTCTGCCATTTTTTTTCCCTCATAGAAAATGCATTGAGCTCGTTTTCCATCCTTCAAATCTTTAGATCCGTTTTAAATCTTTTACTGCTCCTTTAACATTTTGTTCTGCTTCAGCTTCTTTCAGCTTCCTTGTGCAAATTTAGGCTTTTTTTTTGTGTGTGGCTAATTTCAGCTGTTTTTTCAGCTGTTTGGCACTCCTTTCAGATTCTTTCTGCTAACTACAACATTTTTGTGCTGCTTTAACATTTTCTAGTTTAAGCTCATTATGCGTTTCAGCTGATTTCTGCAAGTTTCAGCTATTTCAGCTACCATTTAGCTGTTTCTGTGCTAATTTGAGCTTTTTCAGCTAATTCCACTTTTGTTGCACTCATTTAAACTTTTTACAGCCTAATTCAGCAAAAAAAATGCTCTCCACTTTTTTCTAGTAATTTTAGCTTTCTGTTTTTTAAGCTACTTTTCAGCTGTTTCATGCTAATTTTAGATTTATTTTTTTCAAATAATTTCCACTAATTTGTGCTCATTTATGCTTCTTTCAGCCTAATTGGGCAAACGTGTTCTTTCTGCTTTCTAAGCTAATTCAAGCTTGTTCTACGTTTTCAGCTACATTTTAGCTTTTTTGTTTTGTTTTTAGCTAATTTCAGCCGTTTTCAAATTTCAATTTTTGGTAATTTATGCTACTGTCACCCTAATTAAATTATTTTTGCTAATTTCAGTTTGTTCCTTTCAGCTTACTGGTACTTCTGCTAGCTTCATTTATTTCAGCTATTTAGCTGTTTTTATGCTAATATTAGCGTTTTCAACTAATTCTACATTTTTTGCTCTCATTTAAGTTTTTGTTCTTTCTGCTTTCTTCTGCTGATTTACGCTCGTTCGTCAATTTCAGCTATGTTTCAGCATTTTTTTATTTTATTTTTAGCTAATTTCAGCTGTTTTTCAGCAAGTTCTTCTGAAATCATCACTCGCATTGCATTTTCACAGGAAATGCAGTTTCTTTAGTTTTATTTTATAAGACTTGGACTCTCCCCAAAGAGTTCAAAACAACCAGTTGGACGAGCTTAAATGTCTGTACTCTGTATTTCCTGTAATCAAACATTTAAATCTTTATTCCATGTTTAAATGTGAGAAATAATCTGGTTCCTCTCTGCTGTGAATTATACCGTTAGCTGAACTTCTCACCTGAACGTGCTAATATTAGCTGCAAGTGAAACCAAGATGCGTCGGCAGGAAGTAAAAGATTTAATCACTTTTCAGTTTCTCTTTCAGAGTTTGGGATTAGATTGAGAGACGTCACATTCAAACCAGAGTTTAGATATTTTACTTTATTGGGATTAAGCTGCTGTTTTCATTTTTGAACATTTCTGTCAGGACTCGCTCCACATTTGTCAAAGTAAAAATAATTTTCAAATCACACAAGTAGCACTTAGATTTAGTTTTAGTGCCTCTATGTCTAAAATAATATTTGTTTTGTCCAGTTCATAAATGGTGTATTTGTAACCAAGTTACTTTATGATCTGTTGATAGATTATTGTCAAGTTAATTTCTGTCTTCTGTGATCAGAGAAGAAAATTAGCTAAAATATAAATATTTGGACTTTCACCATCCCAAACCTTTTACCTTTTACAGGAAATGGAAATAAATTATTAGAAATAATCTTAGAATGAAACGTTTGAGCCTCAAGAGTTTGATGTTGCCTCAAACGCCACCGTCTAGAAAACTCGTCTGTTTTTAATTCATCATACGACGTGATATTTTACTGAAAAGAGAAGATTATGAAACGAGGATTTTTCAGCTCTGAGGTTTCTAGATTTCTTTATAGTTTGAATATTTGTGTGTTTCAGCACTTTTTTTTGGCAACAAGTCTAAATTAAGGATAATTTTGTTAAACTTTATGTCCAAAAAATGTTGTTTTGCTGAGTAACATAACTTTAAAATACCCAAATTAATTTTGCTAACACTATTTATTCATGTTTTGTCTTTATTTAAGCCCTGAATAATTTCCTCTGCTGAACATCTTTTGTTTGTTTGTCGTCCTGGCAGCGAACTGGGATTTAATATCGTTTCATCTGTTGGAAATGTCTGAAAGCCGAAACCAGCAGATGTTTTTCTGTTTGCCTTTGTTTGCATTTTTCTCCCTCATTGTTTAAATTCCAGACGGTAACTCGGTCTCTCGTGTCCTTGAGTCCATGTGGACCTCCGTGTCTCCTGGACATGAAGGCTTCAGGGAGGTGTGTGTGTTACTGTACACAATCGGGACGGACGATCCTCTTTGTTTGGGGGATGCGGACCCCCTCGTGTATATTTGTGCGCTGCCTGGAGGGACGATTACCTCCTGCGTCTGCTCCTTTCACAGCCCTAAACAAATAATCAAAAGCGCCTCCGTCTGCGCTTCAGTCCTTATAATTCAATAAAATCCTGAACCAACCAAATGAACAAGAACCACTTCTGGTTTATAACCAATAGCTTGAAGACAGTATTGTGTTTTTATGCTGGTTATGAGGCGCTGACAACAGAATATATTCATATATTTTGTTTATTTGTTGTATTGTGGCTTAAACCACATAAAAAAATCACAAATGATCCGTTTTCAGTTGAAAGTTGTTCATATTTAGAGTTTTTCTTTGTTTTATGTGATAATAAAACGACTATCTTTGGGTTCTGGAAGAGCTTAATGCATGTTTTTTAATTTTTATTATTTGGAAAGTACAATAATTATCTCGTCCTTCTAGGCACAGAATTTATATTGGCTGCTGTTATCTGTTGGTAAACTTGTTTTCTGTTTTATTAGCCTGAAAATTGACCAGGAATATATTAAGATGTTGTAAATCACTTTTCCCCTTTAGAGTAGGAAATGAAAGTTTAGTACACAATAAACTTTCCCATTTATTAAAACAGTAAATTGTTTGTCCTTTTACAATAAATTAGGTTTGCACTAATGAAAACCTGAGCAAGAATTAGGTTTTATTACGTCGTTTTGGATCCAGCTGGTCGAATATTTTGTAGAAAATAATTTTCTCAAGGTTTCTGTAGGTTTCCTCATGTCTGCAGGCGTGTGATGAATGAGGAAACCTTGAGTTCTTCGTCGTTCCAGAGAGTTCTGGAGACTCGTGCTCCGAGGCCGATTCTTGACCCGAGTTCAGCTTCAGAAGAATCGGGAACAGAACGTGTAGTGTTCATGTTAAAAACAAACAAACAGTATTGTGAAAGTTGTTCTTTGTTTCTTACGCACATTTTTTGCTACAGATTTCTGCAAACTGAGATTTTTATTTAATTAATTAATTTATTTATTTTTTACTTCTCTGTTTATACATCAGTGTTCAGCTCATGTGCTGTGGTTTTTGTAACTATTATACTTTTCAGATTATTTTATTGACAAATATTTCACCCCCCAGAGTAGCAGGAGCTCAGTGGAGTCTTGTAATCCTGAGGCTGCAGGTTCGAGCCCAGGTTATGGTTTCCAAAATGCATTTGTACGCTACTTTTAGTTTTAGCTAGCCTATTCCATCTTTTGGCTTATAGTTAGCCTTTTGCTATTTTTCAATTTTAGCTAGTGTTTTTTCTTTTCGTTTGTAATTAGCCTTTTTGTCACTTTTAGCTAGTGTTTAGCTTGTAGTTGGCTTCTTATTTTGTTAATTTTGTATTTTTAGCTTTTAGCTAGTGCTCCTTTTTCTTTTAGCTTGTTAGCCTTTTGTTACTTTTCGCTTTCAGCAGGTCCACATTTAGCTTTTAGCTGGCCTTTTAAAACTTTTTGGAGTTTGGCTAGCATATTGCTTGTTTCGTTAGAGGTTTGCTTATTTTAGCTTTTAAGATTATTATTATTTTTTTTCCCCCCTACTTTTTAATTGTTTTAATTTTAGATTTTTATACTTTCGGCTTTTGGTTAGCCTTTTGAAAACTTTGTTAGCTAGCATTTAGCACTGTTTAACTTGAACAACTCAGTTTCAGCTTCTTCAGCGCTCTTTCAGCTCTCGCTGGATCTTCACAGAATTTATTTTCTGAACAGTAAAGAGGATTAGTTTGTTGTTTTCGGCTCCTGCAGAAGCGGAAACTGTAAATGCATCATTTAGCTTTAAATGTACCAAATACAAATAAACAGAGTCCAAACCAAAACAAATCTCTTCTGCAGGCTGGTCCTGAGTCAGATTTAAAGTTCTCAGGGACTGATGGGTAACAAAATATTCCAGTAATGGACATGGAGGACAGCGTCCTCTTTTGAGTGTTGCCATGGAAACATTTTATTTACTGTATGTGAAGGTAAACAGATTCACTCAGGGTTTAAGCTTTAATCTGAGGCAGCGGTCTAGACTACTTCAGTTTTCTTTCCCCTCAATTATCCAGGTCCATTCTTTTCTGCCAACTCGGTCTCTCCCATCTGTTTCCTCTTCAGAACCTCGGACTCTTTGAGCCTGAATGTTCCTGTCTCCCCAGCACCGGGTAGACTGATAAATCTGGGTCAGCAAGGGGGGCGGGGAGAGGTGGAGGCAGGGGTAAGGACTGTGAGAACTGATCCCAGAACAGGTGCTGCAGATCCCACAGAGGATTCTCCGCAGACAAACTGCAGGGTTCTGAAGGAGGGCGCCTCGCGGCTGCACCTCGAGGAGTTTGTTTGACGCTTCAGCCTGCGTGACGTTCATGAAATCTGTAATTTACTGTAAAACATTAAATCAAAGCGTCTCCCGTTGGGGGGGGGGGGGGTCGGTGAAGGGTCAAGAGGTCACATGACTGCTGTTGCTGAACAAACTCTTCCTGTCTGTCTGCTCCCAGAGGCTGAAGGATGAGATCACAGAAGTGACCAATGAGATCGAAAACCTGGGCCTGACTGAAGAGAGGTGAAGTATCGCTCCGTTACCATTTCTGTGCCTCGTGCGTGCGCGGAGCCACTCGGCTCAACGTACGTTCATGGAGAAAACTGAGAAATGACCAACGGATGTGGAGTTTATCAGACGTTTTGTTCAGTTTCAGTGCAACGATTTAAAACGGATGAGTGTTAAATCTGTGCATATTCCCCTCCATAAACCAATAAATAAAGGCATTGTTGTTCAGATGACGGGTCATCAGAGCTGTTTTTGTTTTGTTTGTAGGAAAAGCATGCAGAGAAATAAACAGATGGCCATCGGCCGAAAGAAGTTCAACATGGACCCCACAAAGGTGAGAGTTCAGTCGAGCCGTTTTCCATCGACAGCCGTGTGTGAAATGTCCTTTTTAAATTTAAGAGTAAGATTTTTGCATCGACCACATCCACAAATCACTTTATTTCTAATTTATTTGCTACTCGGAGGTCACAGAACTGTAGTAAAGCAACATTAGAGGGTTGTGGAGACGCCTTTAGTCTCTTCCAGGATTTCTGCTGTAGAACTGGATCTTCACTGTTATTTAAGATTATTATTATTTTTACCTTTTTATTGCCAGCAATGATGTTTTGTCTGTTTGTAAAATACCTCATGAACCACGTGAGGATTTTAAACGACTCCGAAAGCAATCGCTGGATGTACGTTTACAACTGACTGACATTTGGAGTCAACCTGATTCAAGATGGCTGCCACAGCCAGCTGACCTTAATGGACAGAAAAATGGCTACAACATGGTCACATTTACAGATTTTGATGTAAAACCTGTCATGGTAGTAGCTGAGAGTCATTCCTAACAAACATTCTAACTTGTAAATATAATTTAACTTGTCTAAAACTGGCCTGGGTAAAAACTGTTAATGAATTTATTTTGGTAACAAGTGATCCAAAACACCAGTTAGTGTTTCTAACTCGCTGCTCTCATCACTTAATTTATTTTTATTTCTTTTTGCGTTTTTAGATCGTAACGTTCTGAATTATTTTTCCCCCCAGGGGATTCGCTTCCTGATCGACAGCTTGCTGCTGAAACACACGAGCGAAGACATCGCACAATTCCTCTACAAGGGGGAGGGGCTTAATAAGACCGCCATCGGAGACTATCTGGGCGAGAGGTGAGCAGTCGTACTGGTGTTTAATTTAATGAGACTTGTCACAGCAGTGCGTAGAGATGTTCCAGTTTCAAAGGGTTGTTTTTAAAGAACTTTAATTTTTAGACTTCTTCTGAATGAAAGAAGAGTTTAGGTCTTATTATTGTGAGCTCTGTTTTTATCTCGCCTCATTCTTCTGGTTGTTCCCGTGCGTGTTTGTGTTTTTGCTGTGATGTTTATGCAGGGATGAGTTGAACATCAAAGTTCTGCACGCCTTCCTGGAGTTGCACGAGTTCACAGACCTGAACCTGGTCCAGGCTCTCAGGCAGTTCCTGTGGAGCTTCAGGCTGCCGGGCGAGGCTCAGAAGATCGACCGCATGATGGAGGCGTTCGCCCAGCGGTACTGTCACTGCAACGTCGGAGTGTTTCAGAGCACCGGTAAACGAAACCTGTATAAAAGTCCAATTCTTTAGAAGTTGCATTTGGAATTTATCCCCGTCGTGTGCAGAAGTTTCTGTTTTGCTATAAAGTTTGCAGTCAAACTCCAAATCGCCCGTTTTGACACGTTTCTGAACCACGTCCTGTTTTCAGATACGTGTTACGTGTTGTCGTTCGCCGTGATCATGTTGAACACGAGTCTACACAACCCCAACGTGAAGGACAAACCGTCCGTGCAGAGGTTCACCGCCATGAACAGAGGCATCAACGACGGAGGAGACCTGCCCGAGGATCTGCTCAGAGTGAGTCAACTTTTGTTTTTGGAAAAATAAAATGAAATAAAATTCCGTCTCTGGATCGCCGTCCTGGTCGTTGCTTTGAGTTTAGTTCTTGGAACTTTCTTACAACTAGACTGCGCTATATTTTACAAATCTGCTCTAAAATCTTTGCAGGAATCTGTTTTATCTCCAAATCAAGGTTCTTTATTGTCATTCACATCACATGTGGTACATGAGGTGGAATGAAAATATGTACACAGGCTCCCAGTTACACCCAACAATAGCAAAAATATAAACTATAAAATGAAACGGTAAATAAGGATCCAAGATGTAAAGATGCACGCTAAACGAACGCCTAAGGATCTGAAAGATGTGCTGAAACTAAAGATTTAGGTTTTTTTTGTGTAAATGCATAAAATATTTTCGATAAATGCGTGTTAAATGGGATATTGTGAGATATCACGTGTAGGTTTTGTGAATGACTCTCGGCTACTACCACACCAAATGTCAGCTCCTTACCCACAATTTTGCAGTTTTTTTTTAAAAGTCTGTTTGACTCGTTATAGACATCCATCCAATGGTTATAAATGGATGTTTATAAACAGGAGCTGCAGAACGAAAAGCTCTGCAGAGAGTGGTGAAAGCTGCACAGAAGTCTGTTGGAGTCGGCCTCTCCACCATCAGACATCTACACCTCCAGATGCAGGGAGTGCCACCTGCATCACGAAGGACCCCACTCACCCAGTGCACACACGTTTTGCCCCACTCCCCTCAGGCAGGAGGTTGAGGAGTATTAAGTGTAGAACCACTAGACTGAGGAACAGCTTCTACCCTGAAACTGACTTGTAAATCCATTCTAGAATTGCGTTGCTCGGTGTGGCTCCATGTTGAAGCTTTAGAAAACGTTAATCCCTCTTTTTTTTTTTTCTGGATGCATCTCTTTTTTTCGGAGTATTATTTACTCTGGTATCTGATGCTGTGCAGCTGGAAAGATTTTTTTACTGAAACCTTTTTACTTTTTGTTATGATGCGTAACCATGGCAACAAGGTGTTATTTTAACAACCAGGAGCAGCTGATTAACATCTCAAAAGCTCAAATATCTCAAGTACAGCCACAAATCCCAAATGAGTTGAAAAGGAGGCGCCATGGACGAATTCCCGTCAACCTGGCTGCGGTGCTCAAGTACCTGACCGCCGAGATCCTGGAGCTGGTGGAAAACTCTGCTCGTGACAACGGGAGGACCGGGATTATCCCCCAGCACCTTCAGCTGTCTGTCTGTGGCGACGAGGAGCTTGGCAGACTGCTGGGAGGAGTGACCATCGCTCGGGGAGGAATTCTGCCCGGCATTCGGCAGTCCTGCTGCCCAGGAGGACCGAGAGGCCCGCCAGATCAGACGGCAAACTGGATCTGGGTGGACGGGTCGGTATCTGTAGACAGATTCTTCGGATTTGTTGCAGGAGATCCTTCCTGCCCACAGCTATTGGCATCTAACAACTCTTGATTGAAACCAGGATGACGAGCTACAACACTTAATTTCCCTCTGGGATTAATAAAGTATTTTTGAATTGAATTGAAATCGCAAAACAGGATAATCACTGTAATGCCACTTTAATTGGAAATATGTCACTTTATCTGTGCTGCTGATTTCTTGCCCTTTTTAAGCTGCTGTATTCATGCCCATCTGCTCACAACAGACTCATGTTCAGGCTGCTGTTTAATACGCCGTATTATTTTACATTATTATTGATAAAAATAAAAGGTTGTAAGCTCAATCATCCAGGTAGATGACGACCAAAACGGAAACTGGTTCAGATGACATGATTTAACCTTTATTATTTAGCGCATCTTAGATTCTTGTGTACAGTTTCTTTTTTACTTTTTGCTGTTTTGGGGTGTAACTGGGACGTTGGGTGCACAATTTCAATCCACCTCGTGTACCACATGTGATGCGAATGATAAAGTCACCTTGAACGTTTCTCTTAAACTCTGCAGAATCTGTATGACAGCATCAAGAACGAGCCCTTTAAGATCCCCGAGGACGATGGGAACGACCTCACACACACCTTCTTCAACCCCGACAGAGAAGGCTGGCTGCTGAAGCTCGGTACGAGAACTTTCTTTTGTCAAACGGTTTGGTTCAGTCCAACTTCATACAGCGTTAAAGCACCACGGAGCGCCGTCGTGTGGACAGTTGGTGTAAAATAGAGTTCAGGTTCTTGTTCAGTTTTCATCTTGCACTTACTGATTTTCTTCTTGTTTTGTTTTTCATGGCTGTGACTCCAGGAGGTACGTATTAAAACCACAACCTTCCAGCTTCTCAGTGCGCTGCTTTGCCCCCCACCCTTTTTCCATCGTTTGTGTAAATTCACTTTTGCATCACGAATAATAAAAAAAAAAAAAAAGCTAAATGGATCATTTTAACACCCGACTTCCCCCTCTGCTCTGTCCTGATGTGGAAAAGAGACATTTCTCACCTGCTTCTTGCTGCTGAGCCACGTCTCTAACCCGAGCTGCTCGTGTGGCTGTGAACGTCCGCTCCAGTTTTCTGTTGGTTCTGAAGCTCCTCTGTGATCCGTCCTCAGGTGGACGGGTGAAGACCTGGAAGAGACGCTGGTTTATCCTCACAGATAACTGCCTCTACTACTTCGAATACACCACAGTGAGTTCTTCACGCTCTGTGGGCGGGTTCTGCTCGTTACGGTCGTGCGCTGTAATTTGTTCTCTTGTTTTCAAGGATAAAGAACCCAGAGGGATCATTCCACTGGAAAACCTGAGCATAAGAGAAGTGGAAGACTCAAAGAAACCGGTAAAACTACTTTTTGGGAATTGTCTATTATGAGGCAGCACATTATTATTATTGTTATTATTAATTATTATTATTATTATTGTTATTCACCTAACAAAGGTTTCTTAACTTGATATCTTACTCTTCCGTCAACTTTAATGCAGCCCGAACCGCAACGCGTACTCCCACAAATGTTCCATCAAAATAACCGGCTAGGCACTGACGTGTGCCGTTACTTCTTGGCGTTTCGAGTTACCATGGCGATGTGTTTTGCAAACGAGCTATTTTTCTTAATCAAAACAGCTGATGGAAGTCAACAGCTTCTGCTACAACTCAAATCATTGTTTGAGATGTTAAGATGAAATTTGCTGTGGTCGTAGCTGAGAGCGAGTTTTCATAAGTTCCTAATGCGAATCAAAAATCCAAGATGGCCGCCTGAGCTTAAAAGTAAAAACACTTTGAATCAGCTAATTTGAGCTATTGCGTTATCATTTTGTGTAGTGAGAGCCGAGAACGTTCCCCATCACATACTGAATCCAAATAAAAAATCCAAGATGGCCACCATAGTTTAAGAAAATGACTAGAACTCATCGAACTGAATTTTGTGTAATTGTAGCCGAGAGCGAACCCCAACACACGGTACTGTCGAATCAAAATTTTAAACTGGCAGCAGCGTGGCGGTCCACGTCAAAGTTCTCCAGGAACTTTCTAGTTTACTCTTCTTTAGTGCTATTGACCACTTTCGTAAAGGTTTTCAGCAGGACAAAGATTTAAAAGCACTTTAACTTCCTGGGACACAAGCTTGTGATTTTTTTTTTTTCTGGATTAAGAACCGACATAAAACATGTCCATACGAGGGTGTCGAGATGATAAAATGATCAAAAAACTTCTGCAGGGCAGATTTCTTTCCTGCCTTTTTTTTTTTTTTTACATTAATTCATCTAGTGAGTGATGTAATCTTCCATTTAGTAAAAAAATGTTTTGAAGGATTTGATGCTGATGAAAGGAACTGAATTCTTGTGGAAAAAGTTTGACCCTTTCATGTTTTCTTGGACGAGCTACAGCTCCGTTTACCACATTCACTTCCATAAGCTTTGATAATGTCACATTTGTGTCCCTCCAGAGCTCCCTTATTTTACTTGTACTGATGAAAGAGTAAAACTAATGTCTGAAGAGTTTCCCAGATACTCTGCGGTGCTTAACTTGTGCCTAAAGTCTTTTTTATTTTTAGATCTGGACTTGAAAACCCCTCGGATGTTTTTTATTAAGCCTTACCGGTAATATCTTGATTTCTCTTTGCGCCGTGAGCGTGGAAAATATTTTAGTTAAACAATGACACTCAAATTGTAATTTTTTAAATGTTCATTTCTTCAGTTCAGACGAGTTCATCGATGTCTCGATGAACTCGTGATTTAGCAGACCAGGAGGACTCTTCTGAAACGGTAACGTTTTCTTTCCCTGACCGCAGGAAGTCGTTTGATCCAGATGTTTGAGGGGAATAAAGACCTACAGTACTTCCTGCTGTAGTGTCAAAAACGTCTCGTTAAATATAAATTCCCACAGTTCTTTCTTAATCTAACACTCTTGTTAGCTTACCGTAATACTGTACAGAAGGTTTTTTAAAAGTTTGATTAAAAAACAACTTTATTTTTGGAAAACTGTTAATGGATCAGTAAAGTTGGAGTAATTAACCAGCAATTGAAAGTCTTATTTACTGCTGCTGTTAACTGACAAATTCACTTCCTATCCAACAGTCAGGTCCTTTAGACTTTTTTTTTCCTTTTACGTTTCGTCCTTCATCCAAAGGACTTCATCAGTCTGAGGAGCCACGACAAACTGAGTCCCACAAGCAGCACACTCCCATAGTGGACGAACCAGTTTGATGGTGATGAGATGGTTTCTGGGGCCTGCCCTCTCCCCCGTCGACTCCTCTGAGGCAGCCCAAGTGGTTCAAGATGTCAAAGTTCATGCTCAGTAATCCAGGTAAAAAAAGTCCAGAAGTCCTTTGGATGAAAGACGTCAACAAAAAAACGAAACCGTCCCAATGAGCTGACTGAACTTTGTTGGATTGTTCACCTGGATTACTGAGCAGGAACTTAGATGTTTACTTCCCATCTGTTTTTAATCAAGTCCAGCAGACATTTGATTAACGCTTTAACTTGTTTCAAATTTTCTTCCTCCATTTCAAACGTTTTTCTTCTTCTCTGGTTACAATAACTCCCTGACGCTGGTCCACATTCTTCCTCCCAGAACTGCTTCGAGCTCTTCATCGCCAACAACAAGGATCAGGTGATCAAGGCCTGTAAGACGGAGGCCGACGGCCGGGTCGTGGAGGGAAACCACACGGTTTACAGGATCTCTGCTCCGACCGCAGAGGAGAAGAACGAATGGATCAAAAGCATCAAGTGAGTCGTTTTATTCACTGGTTCTGATGGTCCGACTGCTGTCGGCTGACACGCCTCTTCTGAACACCCGCAGAGCCGCCATCAGCAAAGACCCGTTTTATGAGATGCTGGCAGCTCGGAAGAAGAAGATCTCCACCCTGAAGGGGCTGTAGAACCAGCTGCAGGGACACTTGGACCCAGTTCAGACGCCTCTTTTGTTCCCGTCTGAACACTCGCCCTCAGCAGCGACGCTCCTCTTCTTCACACGTTTGACGTCAGATATTTGCCGAAGAAGCCAAACTTTGATGTACTGTGGACCTTTAAACCCTCAGGTTTGTAGAATCTGCTGTAATCGCTGCTGAAATGAGTCATATTGACCCGAGAGCCTTTTCACTCAGCCGCTGCTCCGGTTTGAGCACGTCCTGAAGAGAAGAGAGCAAACTGCACACAAGGTGGAGAGATGAAGAGTGGCGCCGAGCTTGGAGCAGAACGCAAGATAAAAGCAAGGACTTCCTAAACCTTCATAAATATTTATAAAACGGAGCTGATGAGGTGATCTACAGCTGCCTGGGCCTTCAGCCTGATCCGATCTACAGCAAAAATCCTCCAGCAGCTTGTTTTCATCCGTTGTCAGAACGCCGTGTAAATGCTGAAAAAGCTGAGTATTTATTTATCCAGATTTCTTGTAATTTATTGTCTCATTAAAAAAATACAAACAAATCTTGTGCTTTTGTTTTAATGTTAAAGATTGGTTTATTTAAAAAAAGAAACGATACAAAATGTAAAATAATGCAATAATTTAGCATATTGTGGTGTTTTCAGGAACAAAAGTCTTGATTCGGTCAAAAACAAACATTTAAATGATAAATTCGTCACTCGGGTGTTGATCAGAACGATTCAGTGGATCCGTCAGTCTGATCATACGTTTACAAAGACATGATAATCTGTAAATCCTGCAAATTACAATGAAAGATGCACCTGATTTAAATAATCCAAGTTACTGCAGAGGAGCACAAACTTGTTTCATCACCAATTAATGAGAACTTCTCATCTTTCAGCTGTTTGACCTAAAGTCTCTCCAGTCGAATCGGACCAGAACTTTGCTGCAAATTTACCAGTTTTCTCTGACGACGGTCCGATTAAAGTTTACTCGCCCTGAATCCTGCAGCTGAAAATCCCTCAAATAAAAGACTCTTCGGCTACAGAGACATGAGCTGCTGCTAATCCTGTTAGCTGGGGACCTTTATATTTACACCGGGCCAATGGATCAACGTGGAAGGCGTATGTATTCTAATAGTGAAGTTGAGCTCACCCATGACCACAGTTTCCACTTTAAAATCCTTTCAAAATAAAATACAATAGCAGAAACTGACACAGGGACACTTGGGAGTTGCTTTTTCTCTCTTCAGAAGAAAAGGGTGGGCAAGAAATGTAAAAGAAACAATGGAAACAAGTTGGTTTCATTAAAAGGTAAAACGAGAATTT